GAATGCCTGTGTAAAGTGCACATTACATACACGTCTGTTTATAATCTTAGTGCGTGTGTATCGTCAGTACAACGAATTTGCGAAAAGAAACGCCTACTTAGTGTCGCCGCACACGGGCCACACGCCACAGCCACAAATGCCTTCACGAGAAGCTAGAAGCGGCTACTAAAGTGGCTGAAGCGCGCAACAGCGGCCGACTAAGGTAAGGGAGAGAGGGGTGGGGATCGCGCGAGTGACGTGTGACGGCGTTTTGTATCGGCGCATTAAGTGGCCGGTGCGGGCCACAAGAAGCGAGCAACGACGATTTGTAGCGTGTGGCGGCCTCCGGCGTACCGTGCGTGGCGAGTCCATATAAAATGTATGAAAACTACAATAAATATGGCGGTGGCAGCGTTTTGTGGTTGTGGTCGGTGTCCCGTGTGCGGCGACATTTAGACGTTTTTAATAATAACCGGCGTATCTTGTACCTACTTAATACTAATGAATGTATTCCATAATGTCCACGTTTTTTTTTCTTGATGTTTTTTTATTTTAAAGTTTAAACATATTTTATATGTTGGGTTATAGTTCGTACTATATGTTTTGATTTTCTGTAATCTCCTGTAGACTGTAACCTGCAATGCGTTGTAAATAAATAAATATTTTTTATAAGATTTTTTGTAGTATGCTACAACTAAGTTGTAAGTTGGTTAAATGAAAAGATTTTTAAATTTATTAATAATATTTATTTTACTGTAAAGGAAAATAAGGTTTATTTAAGTACTAAGCTACTGAATGTCAGTGAGTGTGTGAATAATCAGATAGGGTAACGACATAGTCCTAGTTTCGAAAAACATCCGTGACTCTCCAATTTATACTGCGAAGCCCTTCGTATTATACCGTCCATTGCGATCAAAAAAAGCAGAGACGAGCTGCTTGTTGCGTAAGAGCGGCTTACTAACACCCGATAGCCTATCTAAGATAATCTTCCGAAAAATCTAATAATGAATCCAGGAGCAAAGTGCTGCCTCTCCAGATGTTACAGTTGCTCAAGTCGCTCTTGTTTAGCCACAATGACACGGGGCGAGTTTACAAACTACAAGCCAGCGAGTTCGCTAGCACCTTCTAAACTGCGGCTTCTTACAAGCTTTCATTAACAATCTCCTACTCGATGGCACGGGGTGAGTTTACTAGCTGCTGGTTTTAAACTCACCCCGTGTCACCGATGCTTTAGGCAATGCAAGTAGGAGCCCTTTACTCCAGTTCTCGAATAGCTCTTCAGAACCCCAGATCCTTATAACTATTGAGAGAGAGCAAACACTCGGTCGGTCTTAATTAGTTTCCGAACATTAATTATGTAAGTGGTTAGTTCTGGAAACTTTTAGTACCTTTAAGTAGGACAGCAAAGATAGGGTAAATAATTTTGCCTTAAGACGCTTTAAACTAGAAGATGTATACATAACTAATGGCCTGCCCTCTCTTCGCTTCGGGGTAGAATTGATCAAAATCCTTTCTTAGCGGATGCCTACGTCATAACATCTACCTGCATGCCAAATTTCAGCCTGATCCGTCCAGTGGTTTAGGCTGTGCGTTGATATGATAGATCACTATGTCAGTCAGTCACCTTTGAGTTTTATATATATAGATGTCAATGGTCGCCCGTTCTAGCAAAATTCCTCGATCTACCTCTTTCTGAAAATTGGTCTAGACCGTCTCTTGTTCCAGGTTAACATAATCATTAACAACTTTTAGGTTACTGGAGTTTCTATTTATTACAGAGGAATGAGGGTATTGCGGAGTTTTATATTAGATTTGTCTTGTACATATTAATTTTTCGATTTTTGTTTAGAGACTCTATTAAAGTTTTCGAATATTGTGCCGTGGTCCTCTAACAACTTTGCTATCTATAATCACGACAATGAATCAAAGTTTAATGAGATTTTTGCCACAGATGTTAATACCAGAAGCCACCAAATCTTACAAAAAATTTGTATGTCGATATTGGCCCTAATAGTGTTCGTGATTGTTTTTACATATTTTCTACTAAGATTAGTACTTATCACATATGTGGTCCCTTCTCCCTTTTATGGCTGTTTAACAAATTATTTCAAAAGGCTCATAATTTATTTTTATTTGTCATAATTATGCATTAAATATTTTTTTTAATGAAACATTTTTAAAATGTAATGTCAAACTGTATTTCAATATTTTTGTTATTGTCACAATATAAGATTCCGTTAGACATAAAATAGCCCAACTCATCAGCAAGCGATTAAGTGAAATGCTTCAAGAAACCACTATAATTAGTCTCGGAACTTTTACTTCCGCACAGGATTTATCTTGCCTTAAATTGGAATCCTCTTACCTTAGTCTTAGTAGGAAAGGCACTTAATCAGTTGGTACCACTGCTTGTAGTTCTAAGACTTTCTAAAGAGACTCCTGTGGCAATTTTTTTGTACTACATTGTTTTATACCGTGCTCTATGAATTTTGGAATTGTACTTCCCGAAAAATCTATCACAGGCCGATTGTAGATTTTGCTGTATTCCATTTCTCCCATATCCATTATTTATTACATCGTTACTTATTACCTCAAAATAGTATGTTTTATACTTTGAAATAGTACTATTTTTTTCGAAACTGAATTTTCAACTCAAACTCTTGAGAATTATTAAATTGTATAATAGATTAAAAAGCTAGCATTGAAACTGACTTGACCGACTAATTTTAATATTATCATAAAATACATCATCATCATCAGCCTATTAATATCCCCACTGTAGTGGCACCGGCATTCCCTATGGATAGAATAGGGAGATTGGGCCGTAACGTGACCCACCACGCGGGCCCAGTGTGGATAGGTGGGCGCTGAACTCTGCAGATGTAGTCGGGAACAACGGCTTCTAGTGCCTTCTAAAACACGGAGAAACTAGTAATGATACGTTTTTAGTCACTCATCCAATGACCGACCATTGTGACTGTAGCTTAACATACACGATCGCAGGTAGAACGCGCTAACCTGCTGTGACATCGACTTCCTCAAGAACATAGAATAAATAAGCTAATAGAAAACAAATCATCATACATGACTATTTTATTAGAATGTATCGACTATCACTCAACTTTACTGTAAAAGCGGTTTCAAATAATACTAAATTATATTAATTTGAATACATCGAATTTCCACTCTCATTACCCCTTGCCCAAACTTCGACAGCACGAGCTATGGAAAAAGGAGTAAATATCGGAAAAAGTGAACAATGCAATGTAGCGCGGATATAATCCAATATTTGAAGCCAAATACATAAAGACGTCTGCGCGAACTTCTAAAGCCGTAAAGTTCCTTTAAAAAAGTTGTATTTCACGTTACTGGGGGAATTTATTGTACCGTTTCAGCGAGCTGTTTATCTCAATGAAATAGCCCCGAGGTTACGCCACAACCTAACCCCGCATATGTAACACCCTAAGCGCGGCCCCTTCAGTAAGAAACAATTTGTTCGGTGGAAACGTGCTTAATCATGATCAAACTGTTATACCTCTAAGATGTTAGGGCGAACGCTCCGAAAGTCTTATAATCCTGCTTATATCTCAGTTTGCAAATTATGCTCACAAGCCAAAATACTTTTAGCACTTTGCAGTTTTCATTAATTTGACTTTGAAGTCAAAACACGGAATTTGTATTCAGTGATGGTATTTATAAATATACCTATAGGCTATTTTGGCCGCTTACTATGTATCAGGACGGATACATGCTATTTTACCACCCTTTTAACATTAAAAAAAATTGGTATGTGAGACTCGAATCCAAAATTTTTATTCAGTTAGGCTGTTACAAGCACTTAAGAAAGTCTAGACGCTACGCCATCGGTTTGTAAATCTACGGCGGGTGACCTTATACTGAACTTGAACCTGAACTGCTTTTGCCGGTTCCTGCAAGAAATTCAGCAAGGACTGTTTCTTTCCTCCGGTACTACTTACTATATGCAGATTCGTCAAGTTTAAAAATGACTTCAGCGATGATTCAGGAATTCGGTGAAGAAATATACATAAATTCACCTACATGTTGATTGCTGTGTCAAACAGTAGCAGTAAAATTATGATTTACTTATAAAATAATTCTATCAACAGACAAGCTTGATTCAGATAATGTTTTTAAACAAACATCTAGTAACCAATTACAGCTTCCTAATTATAAATTCATTATTACTATTACATTACTATTGTAATAAACATCCAAATTTGTTTTTTTATAAAAACGAATCAACTAGTCTCACTAGGGCACGGGCATCTTAACACCTCACTGTATGTGTGGACGCTTTATCAAATAAGCTACTGAGGTCTTACAATAAGTCATGTGAAATTATTATGCTACAAGGCAGCACCATCTACCCACTTTATAGGCACATAAGTCCAGTCAACCGGCAAATTGGTGTAGTGGAATTGCTGTTCAGGCTTATAAATCTATATTTTAAGCGGTATTTAATTTTATATTGCATCTTCTTTGATCTGTAAGGTAAAACAGGTAATATGCTACTACATAAGGAACTAAAGATTAAAATTGGTAAACTACATAGTTTGTAATTGGGTACTCCCAAGAAGGTTTTTTTGTTGGGAGTACGTTTAGTCGGTACGTTTAGCCAAATATCATTTAGTCGGATATCGAGGAAACCTTAGTCACCTTAGACAACTATATAAAAACAACCATAAGAAAACGCGTAGAAATGCCAGTCCGTCTTGGTATAGTTAAACATTAATTTATTACATTCGAAATATTTTCCATCTAAATAATAATTTGAGCCAACACCGTTGAAATGTTGATGTTTTTCTATTAGTACTTATTGAGCTTTTTGAAGATGTTTACCTTTACTTGCCATTTATGTCACCTAGCTTTAATATATCATAAGGTCCGGTACCTCTCAGCTAATCGAACACGTTCCGTCTTTCTATGGCTGTTTTTTATTAGATTTAATATTTTATTTAATAATAATTCAATATTTTATAATAATGTTTGTTTTGTTCCAGATATATTTTTCAACATTACTCTGCGAAGGAAAACGTTATTTTACACAGTTAATCTTATCGTTCCTTGTGTTGGCATATCGTATCTCTCAGTCCTAGTGTTTTATTTACCCGCAGACTCTGGAGAAAAAATTGCTCTCAGTATTTCAATTTTACTCTCACAAACCATGTTCTTTTTGTTGATATCAGAAATCATACCATCTACGTCACTGGCCTTACCTTTATTGGGAAAATATTTACTATTCACTATGTTACTTGTAGGTTTGTCAGTTGTGATAACTATAATAATTCTGAATGTGCACTATCGAAAGCCAAGTACACACAAAATGGCTCCTTGGGTGAGAAAGTTTTTTATAACTAAACTACCGAAGTTACTACTGATGAGAGTTCCTAAGGATTTGTTGAGAGATTTAGCAGCGCAAAAGATTGCTGGAAGGAGTTTGAAAAAGAATAAGTTCAAGGATGCATTGGCCGCAGCGGAGCAAACAAATTCGAACGCTTCAAGTCCTGACTCTCTACGTCATCATATGCCAGGGGGCTGCAATGGTTTACACTCCACTACTGCTACAAATAGGTAATTTATGAATAATTCAAGTATTTTAACTGTAAGTTACCAATATGATTCCCTGGCATTAGCAGAATTGTCCCAGTAGACAGCAGCCAGTATACACAAAAGATGAAATACTAACACGATTTACACATCAGCACTTTAAAAAAAAGCATTGTTAAGAACGAGATTTAGTTCCTATCAAGCCAGCGTTGGCAGATGTCCCGATTTGGACGGGACGTCCTGATTTTTAAATCAAAATTTAATGTCCCGCGCGGGTTAGACACAATCCCGCTTTTAGAGAATAACTTTACCGTGCGTGCAGCGTACTGAGAAAACGCGGGTGGCACAGACAAGCGTGGACTGGCCGCCTGCCCGGCGAGCAATGAAGATAAATTTTAATAACTTTGGATTATATACGTTTTTTTAGTATGTCCCGCTTTTGACTCAAAATGTTCCTAAATCCCGACTTGGCAAAAAATCTGGTAACGCTGTATCAAGCTCTATTATAACGCTTCCTAAGAGTCATCAAAATGTTATTGTATGTAATACCAAATAATTTATTCCATTTCTGTATATCTATCATTAACAGATTCAGCGGCCTCGTCGGAGCTCTCGGGAGCCTTGGTGCAGGTTATAATGGTCTTCCTTCGGTAATGTCCGGCCTTGATGACTCCTTGAGCGACGTGGTACCTCGCAAGAAGTACCCCTTCGAGTTGGAAAAGGCGATCCATAACGTTATGTTTATACAACATCACATGCAGCGGCAAGATGAATTTAATGCGGTATGTTAATATATCAACTTTAATACTACTAGCTTTTTTAATATTACCCTTTAAAAATTGCACACTATATTCTTTAAGAAATCCACAGATAAAATGTTCTCATAAAGTATTTTACTTTAATCAGAAGTTAAATTTTTATTGTACTAAATTTAAGAGGACTTAATTTTTTTTTTACTATCAGTTACTAAAATTAAATTATTAATGAATATACATGAGTACTTTGTTTAAGTCATCTATAATTCGTTCTAAACAACCATAATACCTTGATTATCATCTTTCTTTCAACTAACAGGAAGATCAAGACTGGGGCTTTGTAGCCATGGTCCTGGATCGACTGTTCCTCTGGATATTCACCATCGCCTCCATCGTGGGTACATTTGCAATCCTCTGTGAAGCACCTTCCTTGTACGATGATACTAAGCCAATCGACATGATACTATCATCGGTTGCTCAGCAACAGTTTCTTCCTGTTGATAGCGGAGATCCTTAAAGAAAAATATTTAATGTATGTTGATTTTGTTGGCCCTATGCCATCATCTTTTAAGGCTTAGGCATTTTTTTAGTAACCCAATCATGTCACGGATACTAATGTGACCTAATGCATTTATCATTTAGGTTTTTAAATCAAATCTATTCTTGTTTTATTTTTTAATTTTAAGAAAGTAATGGTTTTGGCTAACAATCAAAATATACTCAATTAATATTTGTTTCTTAGGTTTTCACGCACATCACTCATTAAATAAAACTAGTTTATACGGGTTAATGCACGAAACTTTATTTATTTATTGACGTTTCGTAGCCTTTACAGGCTACGTCGTCAGAATTAAACTTTTATTTAATTTGTCGAGCTACCTTCGAAAGACTTTTATTGAGCGTTCGGTTATTTCATAAAGTTTTTTTTAAAGTTTTATTGTCTATGTATGAATTTATTATTAAATTTACTTAATAAAGTATTGTATTTAAATTCTTTTTTGTAATTTTGAGTTTATTTATTTGACCCTAACTACCGTAAACTACCACCGGTTCCAAAATTTCGTGAAAAATTTCGTTCAATAAATAAATAAAGTTTCGTGCATTAACCCGTAAAAACTAGTTTTATATACTCAATTAAGTTTTTTCTAAATTGTATTATGTTTCGAATAAGTTTGGAATATTTGTAAATTTTAAAATGTATAACGTGTTTATTTACAGTATTATTTAACACTAATTCAATTTTGTTCTACAGCTGTCTTATAGGAAAACGTGAAATATTAGTTAGCCATAAATTGTGGCAAGCAGTGTGGTAGTATTTGGAAGGAAAAAAAATAAGAAGGCTCAAACAGTTATTTCTTTTAACTTTTCGTGTATTATCTGTTAAGTCTTATGTATTCATTAATATAAGGAATTTTGGATAAATAACAACAACTAGATGATATTTTGTAGTTTCGTAATTGTAATCAACTTTTAGCCAAATCGTAGCTTTAGAGATTTATTATTATTAACATGGTTGAGCCAAAAGCGGCTGTGACATAATTGGTATTTAGTGTAAGCTAATTAAGGAATTACTGCTTATTTTTACTGTCTTATTCAGCAGTTTGTGATTTTTAAGACTATTAGTTTAGTATTTTATACCTAAAATCTGAGCGTGTTTTATACCCAACTATTAACTGAATCTCCAAAGTAGATTTTCAATTATCAGTTATTGCCTGATATTTCACCTACAAATGGATACATTAAAGCCTTGCATATCCAAAATATACTTTTAAAGAGTATCTAATGATTTCTCAAGAATTACCTATTGATTTAGATAATACGTGTTGTAATTGTAATTTACTAATATACAAAAGAAGTAGTAAAACCAATGATGAAATTACTCATTTGCCAAACTTGTATAAAAAGGCCATCTTTATTACTTACAGCAGCATAGCACTTACCCTATAGTTAATCATCCTATAATTTAAATAACCATGTAATTATTAATAATATAATGGCTGTGTTAGATTTAAAATATTTCTGATGTTACTATCTTGTAGCGATAAAATTAATCGTAAAGACATAAATTGTTACTGAATTTGGTTAAAAAAGAAAGGTTTTTGTCTTATCTTAGGGTTGTATGGCTAAGTCTCAGAAATTTGTACCATAATACACGTGAACTCGTAACACGCAATAACACAATGGAAATATTGTTTTAGCCTGGTGCCCAAATCATAATAGCAATAAAGAAATTGCCAGAAAATCATGAACCTAAATAATCAATGATAGCGAAAGGATGAAAAAGTTTAAAGAAGATGCTAGGAGTAACAATTAACAAAATGGAAAATCGTAATACTCTGGAAATATTGTTAAGCCTGGTGCACAAATCATAAAAGCAATAAAAAAAATGCCATAAAAATATGAACCTAAGTAATCAAAGATAGCGAAAGAATGGAAAAGTTTAAAGAAGATGTTACGAGTAACAATTAACAAAAAAATTACGGAAAATTAACTATAATATATATATTTAACATGTGTAAGCCAATCTTTATATTTTTGTCGTGTGTTAAGTCACACCACTTCGTGAAACACGCAACACACGAGAATAAACACACGTGGAAAAAAACCTCATGTAGATTCTTCAAAGGTAAAGAAAAAACAGTTTAAAATAGTCTTTTCTTACCTAACTATGTTGAATTCCTTTGGGAAAGTGTATAAAATCCGATGACCAAAAAGTAACACACGCAAGTACATGCTTTTTACATGAAAACTAATATGGCTGACGTAAAACTCTAAATGTCAATCAGAAATCAAAATGTTGCCATTGCGCAAGAATAATTCCTGGTGTTGATATTGCATGAAATAAATATCTTGCCACATAACAAAGTTAACGTAACAAACGTGAAGTTTATTTAGACACCTTTTGAAAATAAGCTGAATCTCTAAATTTTTGTACAATTTCGTTAAAGGACATCGACGAAATCGGCCCTAGCATGCCCAAAAGAATGTCCTTCACTATTATCTTTCTATTATTTTTTAACATATTAGCATATTAATCATAGTAAACGGACAATCTGTTTAAAAAAATAAAGTTCTGTTACTAGATACTACAGTCTATTCATCCAACTTGGCACTCCTTTTTATTGAAAAAACAGCATTAAAAATCAACTGATAACTTGATTCAAAAGGTTTCAGTCTATAATAACGATTTATTTTAATAGTTTATTGGCTTCGTTAATATTTTATTATTAAATGGGTGATTCTGTTAAAAAGTTGTGCCAAGATTGTTTACCTTTATAAATGCATTAGAGGCGACCATAGGTATTTATCCAAAGAAAAATAGAGATAACTTAGTTAATAATACTTATTACTAGTATTATATTTATAAAAAGATTATTTCTGAAATTATGTAAAGATAGTTTATACTCCCATCCCATGTAATATCTGTTTATTTTTATGAAAATCATAATGATAACCAGGTACATACCTAATTACCGATAGTAAAATATAGAAACAGGTAAATGAAAAGACTGAACATTTCATTTGAAAAGAAATCTATTATTACTACAGGTAAGGTATAGGTATCGTAGGTGCCAACTGACAACACTCATTAATCAATATGAATATAAGCATTTATTATTTTTATTATTAATTGCATTTTATGTTCATTTAATGCATATTATTTAAGTGCTTACATAGAGGTAAACACTAAATCTATTCAGAATATATAAAGTGTACATCTTTTACGATTAAGTATAATAATTATAACCTCAAAATCAAATACATTCTGTAGTAGGCCACGGTTCCTCAAGTTGTCCGTATCTCAACAAATGCCTAATTAGAGTTTATGAATGATTCCGAACACAACTAGCATTTTCTCATTGCTGGGCGTTCTAGGGCATTCAATGTATGGGGAACGAGCAATTTCCTTTATCATTGATATAGACAGTATAACTTCTTACCTTTCATATTAAACATTACTATAAATACAACACATGCGATGTGAATGTAGTTTAAACTTATTTTTTTTAAAAGGACATGACACTTTTGTATGAAACTTATTTTTATGGGTGGTTATGTCGGCTTTTTTTGTAAATTGTATAGATTCAGTTATTAAAACAATATTATAATTCAATTGAATAATAGGTTTGTCCCAGGAACTGAGGTTCTTTATCGTGAAACTTAAGGACATAAATTATTTTTCCATTGGAATTTTGGCCAACATATTTTTTTGATTAAAGTAAAATTTCTGTGAGCCTTAACCATGTACATAGAGAAACGGTTTTCGTTTGTCGAGGGTCTGCCTTTTAAAATATATACGAAAAGCTGCCGAAGAAATTCGGAAATTTCGCCGAAAGATAAAAAAAGTCTAATTTTAACAATGTCAGATTAAGATCGGCCACTTAATCCATTTATATTTCTTTTGGAGTAGCCCGTTTGCTTATCTAAGCAAGCACCCTTACATATTTATGTCAATAAGTCGTCTTCCAAATGCTTGTGTTTTTATAATTGATTTTCCAATTCTAGATATTTGTCTTTACCGAATGTAAGTTTTCAATATTGTAATTAATGTAGTCTTTGAATGTTGCATCAATGTTTTACGTAACTTGAAGTATTTCAAAGTAAATTGCTAAGAAAATTATCTGTTTTATTATTTCTAATCCAGTATTCTTAGTTTACTTTTTACTACCCTTTCATTTACATCTAATTAATATTCCTTTTGATTGATATTTTTTGTAGACAGTACATAACATTACGAGTTTTGATTTGTTTTGATCTGTTACTTTGATTCAATTTTACCACAATGCTGGGAAACACCAAAATGTTTCAGTGTTATTAAAAAAAAGGCTACTTCACTTTAACTATGTATATATACGTGTGCGCATGGTGTGTGCACTAAATTTATATTGAGTAAGGAAAAATCAACAAATAAAATGTGTTATTTCCCAAATCAATTTAATTTAAACATTTATGGTATGATAGTTTCAATCTCGACACCTGATTTCTTAGATTGACAGAAATCAACAAAAGTTTTTTTTTAATCCAAATTTTCAGAGATTGAAATTTAGCAACGTTACGAATAAATGAAAAAAGTTTCACTTTACTTTCAGCTGAAACAAACATTGAAACTTCAAAAAGCTTCCTTTAGCCAATATTATCCTTGCAATCCAAAGATCTATTTACAACGCGTTGAATAATTTATATAAACCGTTGACCGATCACCGGACAGAACTCACCAAGGTACTGACTTCGAAATAAGTGATTTAGCAATTCAATTAGCTTTCCAGTTTAAAACAAAAAAGGTTCTTAAAATTACAGCTTTTGAAGCATTCGCATTGGACGAGACGCTCTCGTTTATCTTAGCTTAGAATTACCATTTAGTAGATTTCTTGGAAATAAAGACAAGCAAAAGTGGTTTCGAGTGAGAATTGTACGAAAAAGTTTTAAAACTCTCGCAAAAGGAGCGGGAATTTATGTAATTGGAATTGAAACGTCTGTTTTTATCCACTTAGATGTTTCAGACTAATAATTTATTTAAAGTGCTATTAAAGAGTCTGTTTCTACGTTTTGTTGCGGCAGATTCTGATTAAACCGCTTTTGATGAATGACACTTGGTCAT